GGGGATCTTCTGTGTCACTGTAGCCTGTTTGTGGTCTAGCAGCTGTCTGCTTACTGCAGGCTCTGTGTTGGGTATATTTTGTGCAACAGCTTGTTAGCTTACAGCTGACACTGTTCATCTTTCTGCCCCTTAGCGCGTTGTCCTGCCCTGTACTCCACGCTTTCCTGAGAGGCAGAGTGTGCTTTGGCACCAGCTATGCCCCAGTAGCTGAGCCCACCACCTCTTGGCCATGGTGGGCCGAGGTGTGTGTGGAGCATCTTCCCTGCCTCCTGGCTGAGCCTTCCTTCTTCGGGCTAATAGCTCCCTGCTTCAGTGACCTTTGAAGTGTGCGGTGGCGGGGGGTGTTGGCTTGTTTCTTTGTTTTCCATCCTTTCTGTGTCCTCCTGCTTACCCTCACCCTCTGGACATATTTGGTAACACAGTCATTGGCCTATATTTATTGCCTTTCTTCTGTGTTTTCATCATCCCGTAATTGTGGTGTGTAGTCCCACACAATTGAATTTGTTTTGAATTTTTAGTTGTTTGGGTTTTTAAAATCTATTAATCAGGCCTCTCTGACAAAGAGGCCTGTGAGAGTTTTTGGCATAGTTGTGAAATACTGCAACTGTGAGAGAGAATTCATACCCTGTTTTTTTTTTTTAGTGCTTGGCTTTAAGAACTGCAGTCTCCTTGCTCTAATGTGAATTCCAGAAGACAAAGGATTTATATTTCCTTTTTTAAGTCTCTTGAAACCTACGCACCTTTTAAAGATCTTTAGAAACGTGTGGCATACGTTTTGGTAGAAATAATTAATCGGGGGGGCTCACGTGCATTATTGCTTCTGTATGCCCTGGGAGCTCCTGGTTGGGCTGGCTGGCTGCCATGGACCCTCGCTGGCTGGCCAACCAGCCTTCACGTCAGCCTGGTTTCCAGCACAAGTGGTGTCCAAATCAACACGTTCCCATGGAATGTTTTAGATTTCAGCAAAGCAACATTTTCCTATGGAAAAGCCTTCCCTCAGAAAAATCCCTGCTAGCCCTCGGTCAGGCGGCTTCCCATGCCCGGGACCCCATGACACAACAAAGTTTCCTACTGGTTGTGTCATCAGAGGAGAAACAGTTCATTGCTTGCCTTGAGCAGAAATCGAGTCCCACTTCCTGTTAAAAATCGATAGCTAATCCCCAGGAAAGGTTGCGTTTGATCAGGGGTGGCTCCTAGTTCCAGGTGTCTCATTTCACACGAGCAGATGCTCACGCGTTGAACACTGTTAGTTGTCAGTTCTCTCAGCCGCTGGTTTTCAGCAAGCATGTGAATACTTCATTTGCTCCCTGTGGCGGTGCACGGATGTCGCAGTGACAATGACTGTGCTTCAGAGGGAGGTGGATCCTGCACTGGATGGACGTGAACTTGCACCCCCACATCCTGTTTTATGCATCTGCTACAAATACCGTTGCAGCCTGGCTATCCCTTTGGCTGAGGGCATGCTTGAAGCGATAGTATTTTCTGCAAATCAAACCAATGGTCCTTGACAGGTAACTGTTGGTGTTTCATGTGTCATGTTATCCATAAAATATACTAATTCATGTTCTTTCAAGATGTTAGTTTGAAATCTCAGCTTTTCAGGATTGATCCAAGTCCGTCTCTCCCCTCCCCAAATGCCCTGTGCTCATCTGCTGCTGGGAGTTAAGTCAGTCCAAACCTGTGCATAACAAAAATGTATTAGGCCAGAAGTTTCTTTCAACTCATATAAAAGTTCAAACTAGTAACTGCTTTTCTTCTAGTAGATGTGTGGGGATTTTTTAGAAATTAAATATTACTTTAGTCAGTGTGTTTAGTTGAACTCTGCCATCAATAATGCTGACTGCATAAATATTAATCTTACAGTATGTATTGATTCCAAACGAAATTTCTAAAACCAGATTTTGCATTTTTATTTTGCCTAAATACAGAATGTGCCATTACTTCTGTAGGAAGGAGAAGCAGCCACTCTTCTCCAGTAGCTTACGACTACACCGAAGAAACAATTAGTTTGAAAAAATGCCTGGGATGGACCAAACGGGTTTTTGTTATAGATGGTCTTTAGAAGAATGAACTTCTTCCAATGGTTTCTTAATCTGGAACAGGGAGAAAGCAGCTTTTGAACACTTTAAAGTGAGAGATATTTTAACTCTGTCATTTCTTAACTTGAAATACGTTTTAATAATAAATACCATCTGAGACTTAACGTGCAAAAGTTTGGGAACAGAAAGAGAATTTATCCAACACAGATCAGGCATAGCGAAACTTCAGCAAAGCCCTGCAAACACAGAAGTTTGTTGTTTGAAAGACTTGACCGGTCGCTGCGGTACATTATTTACATGCTTGAATTCTTCAGCTTCCTTCCCTGGGAAGGCACAGTTAATTTTCTCAGTTCATGTGGGTTTGTGCTGAATCAGATGGAGTTTTTATGAGAGCCTTGGGCCTTTTTTCAAGTTGGAAAATAAGATAAATCACTATGGCTTTGTTTCTCTAGTGGAGACATTTTGTCTATTCAAATACATACGGTTTTCCCTCTCCTTTCTATAACCCTCTTCCACCCACGTCCAGACATACGGCAGCCTGGGAATAATTTTTTTCTATGGCTTCATTTCAGAATTTCACCATTTTTTTTCTTGGGCATATTGTTGCCATACTGTAATTTCTGATTTCTGTGGTACAGTGTGAAGACTATGCTACAGCTTTCCACTTGTAGCTTCATGGGTCCTGTTCCAGGGATTATCCTGGACTCTGATGCGGTATAAAACTGTGAGCCTGTCCTACAGGAGTGTGAATGCCCTCAACAGCTCTTGACCTTCATGTGAGCTGAGGAGCTACACTTGAAGAGCTGGCGCTTACTATAAGGAATGCAAACAATTGGTTACGTTAAGCCCTACGAAGTGAGCGTGCGTATTCAGATGAGTGCATGCCCCAGTGCACTCCAGCACTTATGAACGCAGACCTACTTAACTTCTTTTTGGTCATTTTGGTCTCTCTCTCTCTCTCTTTCAACTAGCCTTTTTGTTCAGGAGTATCGAAGGCTTTTATTACTCATGTAATTGCTTTGGAGCCTTTTACAGTCCATATTTTAACACAGTGAAGTTTTTATACGTTAGCACAAGCGTCTCTGCAGAATAATTGTGAAAGCAGTATGGTTTTTATATATGGCATTTTATCAGAACTTTGCTAATGCTGTCAATATAATAGACAACATCTGTTTTCCATTTCTTTGCATTTTGTATAGTGGTCAACTCAAGAGGAGACAAAAGTAACTTTGAACAGAAATGGTGTGCGGGGCTTGGTTCACATTTTGCATCCAAAGAGGAAGGTGAATTGCCTTAAAAAGTCCCTTGCTTTTAATTTGTGCTCGAATCTGGGCATAGAGCAGTTATTTATATATTGATAGTATGGTTTCATGATACTAATTTCAATAAAACCTTACTGTATTAAAATACCTATGATTGTCTTCAAGCTTCAGAGGACTTTGAAACTTGTTTCATGTCTACAGGAACGCCCCCCTGGCAATCTGTCTCTTCCTCCTGCCTTGACGATGCTGCAACAAATCTTTTTCCGTGTTTTTAGTTATTTCCCCTAGGTACTGTGCTTTTAAAATACTTGCTGCGTCTGAGCCCTAGGACGCGATAGTGAACTCCTTCAGGTCATGCCTTTTCCATCACGGACTCTCCACACAGCGAGAGCAGCAGCGGCGGCGGCACTCTCGCTCTGGGCAGCACTGCCTGTGGATTTCCCTGGGGAGGGTGAGCTGTGCCGTATTGGAAGGAGGGGCACGCCTGGCCGGCAGTCTTCTGCACTGTTAAGAAAAGAGCAAGGTTACTTTTTATGTCCGGGAGGTTTGGTCCTGCCGACAGACGCGGCTGCGGGGGAGCTGCCCTAGGGAGGGGGGGCGGTCTTGGGGGAGGGGGGGCGCCTGCCATAGGAAGGAGAGCCGTTCTGGCGTGGTGGTGTCGGTGCAGGGGTGCTCCAGTGCCCTTGCGGGAGAGGAGGGGCGCGGGCGGCCATCGGGTGCTTCCTCACAGCCTCCCCTCTTCTCCAGCTCGCTGGAGCGAGTGCTCCACAGTCCTGTTGCCCGCAGCACTGTGGGGCTGCTCTGAGGCGATGAAGGAAACAAGGTTTAGAGGATCATACTGATGTTCCCTCCTCTTTTCCCATGTTTGAATCTGTTCTTCCACCTTCAGCCGGACTTGTTGCAGGAGAGGCCTCTCAAGAGGCCATTACCTTTGGGCAGCCTCTGTGCGAGCAGGAGGCGAAGCGGAAGAGGGACTGGCGGTGGCCTGAGTTCAGGGAAGGGCTTCGGTTCAGGCGGGCAGTCGCGCGCCCGGTGCCTGAGGGCCCGCCGCAGCCACCACCTTGCCGGGGGTCTGGCGGGAGCCGCCACAGTCACCAAGCGCGCAGGCAGGGCAAAGACCAGGCTTCATTAATTGCGGTGCTGACAGGACAGCTCGGTGAGCTGCGCCTGTTCTGGTGCGGGGAGGTGACCTCCGTGCCTGAGGGGGTTTGGGGGGCGAAGTGCTCTGGGGGAAGCACAGAAACCGCCCCGTGTCTGGCCGAGGCTCTCCCGGGCTGATGCGTTAGCTGGGTAGCGCATTGTTATGGTTGAGTAAAAGCCATAAAGCATTTGGGTTTTTAGCAGATGGCTTTGGGAGCATATTTTGCTGTACTGAGAATTCAGTAAATATTTTTGACGTTGATTTGTTTTTTGTTTTTTTATTTTATTTTATTTTTTTATTTCAAATTGCTTTTTTCTCTCTTCCTCTAAGAGAGTGTGGGTGTGTGCTTTGCTGAGGAGGTTTTTCCTTGTGAAGATAATGTGAATCTTGAATCAAATTGACCTATTTTTAATGTGAAATTTTAGACCCTTGCTTGAAGGCAAAAATGCCATGATGTTACGTTAGACTTAAAAACAAAATGGAATTCATGCAAATGGTAACTTATAATTGTTTAATGTAAATGAGATTTTCTTTACACTTATTTCTTATTACCTTTAGCACATCAGGTCCACCCATTTGGCCAGGAAGCACCTTTTTCAAGAGAAATGGAGCCCTTCTACAAGGTAGGTGAAGGATACTACATCTTGGAGTACCTGTTCTACTTAACAAATACCTCTTGCAAGTTGCACAGCTTTTGTAATATTCACTGGGCAAGAAGTAACCAAATGTTTTTTGTTTCCTTTAACCTGTCTCCTGGTGCCTTGAAAATGATGATTTACTACATACAGTGAGTGTAGTCTATGAAGTTGCTGCTTTTTTTCTTTCCTCAGCTTATTAATTTGCTTACTGTAAAATCTGGCAAAGAGTGGCTTCCCCCCCCCTTTCCCCCCCTTTGTATGGATAAAGATTGGCCAGAAGGAAATGTTCCAGGAACACTGCTTTTAGCTCTGTGGATGAAGCAAGGCTGTTCTTTGAGAGAGATCCTTTCTTTTACTCCCTAATTATGCTGATAGCAAAATGTACTTGAAGGTAGGTAGCAGTGCTGTAGAGGGGAAAACAGTGGCAGAGTATTTGTCTCAAGAAACCTACCATGTTTAAGGGCCCTTATATTCATAGAGGAATGTTAAATATCTTCTTTCTATTGCATGGACAATGTAAACAGAAGCTATATGACTGCAGTTTTGACAGGTGAAGATTTTCAGTCTGTCTTACCAGACTTGTTTTTAAAAACATCATTCACTGCTAAGTGTGTTTATATTTCTGCCATTGAGTACACAGAACTACCATTGCTCTTAATGGCAGTGTCTTGGGAACACAGAAGGCTGTTTCCCCAGACTGCATGCATTTGTTTATGGTGCAAAAGTAACTTACACCAATTTAGGATGATTTTACGGTCTTTGCAAGTATTTGTCCGTGAAGTGTCTGTCTCAGTTTTGTGTTCATTCTCATGCTGCCAAGAGTTTTCTGGCCTTCTTTCTGGAAGAAAACGCTGTATAATGTTCTCTGGAACATTCATCCAGATCACCTAGGATGGAGCCTTTCTCACAACTAGGCTCACAAGCAAACAATTGGCAGGCAGCACTGCTCACCTTCAACACCCCAAAGTAATCCAGCATCTGCAGTTTACCCGAGAATATTTTTCAACTGATACCTTGCATGTATCTAAGAATTGGCATCATTCTGTTATCTAATATCTATGCTGAGATTTGTTTAAATGAATTTTAAATACATTAAAGCATTCAGATTATTTCTTAACACTAGGAGATGGTATAAATTGTAGACTTTGGCAGCTTTTGGCTTTAGTCTTGATACGATAGATCTGCTACCTTTGCAGTCCTTCCTAATGGGAAGAAATACATTTTATTTTTTTTTTGTAAGGAAAAAAAGAAACTATTGTGAATGGATATGCTTGATTCATTTTCAGTTGTTCAACAATTCCAGTTTTAAATGTGTACCTGCATATATACAGTCTTTGTAATTTGAGTTCATAAAATGGAAACTATGCTGTCAAGTCTGTGTGGCACAAATGTTTTACCTCTTCTTATGATGCAAGATATCCACGAATTAATAAATACTTTGTAGTCCTTTCTATCTCAGTTGTTTCTTAAAGCCTTCTCCCAATAAAGAAGAGTACACTGTTCTGCACCCTCTTCTCCTCTGCCCTCCTCTGCCTTCCAAATCAGGAGGGGAAAAAAACTGAAAGCCCAAAGCATTTCAGCATATTAAAGAAACGGAGAAAAAAGAGAGATGACTGCCTTTTCAAGCAACTAACAAAGCCTAACAGACCTTTAACTGAGTTGGCATTCTGTGTTGCCATTTCAAGTGGAAAGCGCAGCCAATTTGAACTCTAATATGCATGATACAACTGAGGTTGGAAGAATGAGAGAATGTGGAGAAAAACCTCATTAAAGTAATCTTTTAACACTTCCTGGTTTTAATTTTAAAACAAGAAAATAACTCAACCAAGCCTTTTTTTCCTTCTTTCTTTCTGTCGTTCTTTCTTTCTGTCGTTCTTTCTTTCTGTCGTTCTTTCTTTCTGTCGTTCTTTCTTTCTGTCGTTCTTTCTTTCTGTCGTTCTTTTTTCCTGTCGTTCTTTCTTTCTGTCGTTCTTTCTTTCTGTCGTTCTTTCTTTCTGTCGTTCTTTCTTTCTGTCGTTCTTTCTTTCTGTCGTTCTTTCTTTCTGTCGTTCTTTCTTTCTGTCGTTCTTTCTTTCTGTCGTTCTTTCTTTCTGTCGTTCTTTCTTTCTGTCGTTCTTTCTTTCTGTCGTTCTTTCTTTCTGTCGTTCTTTCTTTCTGTCGCAATGAGCTCTTTCACGTACAGGGTTCAGAAGGTTGCATGGAAATAGTGCATCCACCTCTTTGCTGCTTCAGACTGTCTTTTTCCAGAAGACCTGTGTAGAGGAATGGTAGCGGGTGCAGGGAGGTGTGAGATGAGGGGCTGGAGAGTTTTGTTGAGTCCTTCCTTACATGGCCATCTTAAGTCTCTTTTCCCAGTGCTTATATCCAGCTTAATGCAAACAGGAGAATGACAAATTGACTCAATTATCGGTTTCAAGCTATAGTACTGCCTTTTGGTTGGCAGAAGTTCAGGTAACAAAGGGATTTAAAATTATTTTTACTTAATAAATATTTAGCTACATTTGAAAAGAATGTTCAGTGCGTGTTATAGACAATAATACAGAATAATTCTGAAATTTTAGTAAATGTGAAATTCATGTGCACTTGTCACACCTCATTTCTTTGGAGTTGTTAAGGAAAATGCTCTTTTTCTGGTCTGGGGAATGAAGAGAAAAAAATTCTGCAATGTAAGTAGTACTTTTTTAGCCAAGAAACTTGTAGACGCTCCTGGTTTCCATTCATTTTATACATGAACTATTTGGCAAAGTAATCTTAACCATTGTAAAGCGTTTAACATATCTCTCCAGAGAAAGTGACTGAGAAACCAGTTATCTGTGTACCTCAAATAGCAAAGGAAGAGAAAGGGAAGCTAAAATTCTGTGTCCTTAATGTCTTTGACATAAGCAGGACTAATTCTCTGTTCCTTTCTGGCTGTCTTTGCTTGTATTTTGTTGAAGAATTTTGAAGAAAAATATATATGTCATTTTTTTTTTGTTTGGTAGGAGATGGCTACCTCAGTTTCTTTTTTGAGGATCATGGTACTGTTGTTCCTAGCATTGACTCTCTAATCAAAACAAACGAGCAATAAATTTATATTTTGTGTTGAGTAAGTCACCTGCTCAGGTGCTTTTTGAAATGTTGAGCTCCTTCTACTAGGTGAGGATTGCTCCTTATATCTTGGGCTCTTTGGTTGTCTTATGAACAAGTCCCATGCGGGGCTTAATATAGTTAGGACCTTCAGCCTTACCAGAGTCTGATACCTGGACTCAAAACTTACTTGTACGTCCGTGGAGATCACTGTGTTCTAGCCTTCAGGATTCCCAGATAAAACAGGTTTTTGCTCTTACTGCTTTACTTTTTCTATTGGTTTTTGTTATTGTACATACTGTGTTTTTGTTTCAAATCACAGCTTAATTTTTTTAAACCTGCTGTATGGACACTGTTTGTTCCCACTGTTCTCTCTGTTCTCAGCTGTCATAACACATCCATTTTTATTTAATAAAATGTATGACAGGAAAAAGTCTTTACAGTGGAAAAGATTTAGACGTACTCTAAACTCTTCAGGAATTTGTGCTGGGTGAGATAGGTGGGGACATAATCACATTAACTTCAAGACCTTGAAACTAATGCATCGTGTTCAGATAAGGTCCGTTTCGTTGCCTCTGCTCTGGTCTTGGGTGTTAATCTCATGTTATAGACTTGAGGGTGCAGTTACTCACAGATCAATGGTAATAAAAGTATTTTGCTCTCAATATATCTAACACTCTCCCTGAATAAATTAAAAATACATCTTCAAATTAACTTTTAGCAGCAGTCATGTAAATTTCAGCTGCTGAGTGCCACCTTGTAAGATGTAACTGGACTGTGGAGGGGTTTGGTTTTGTTTCTTAAAGATACAACTTCAATTTTGAGGGGAAAAAAAAAACCAACGAACTTACCAGTCTCTTTTTGTCTTTATTTGCCCTCACACTTTAATAAACTAAACGCAACATATTACTATGCTTTCTCATATTGAATTTGTTCTGTCCTGAGTTGCAAGGAAGCATATGTAGAAGGTGTTTCTGGGTGTAACTACAGCTGGCACGGAAACAGAGTGCCGTACAGTGAAAACAGTGATCTGTGTCTGCTGTTGCTGCTGCAGTGGGGATTGAAACAAGAGTGCAAGAACTGCTGGAGTTGCCCCAGAAGATGCAAGAGCCCTGTGACTGGGCAGCAGCTGACAAAAAGCAATACCTCCTCTCTGGTTTATGGCGAGTACGCGTCTGTCAGGCTTAATGCCATTCTTGGGTAAGCTTCCTGAGTTTCTAGTCAAAGCCTGGAAGAAGCAGGCTTTTGTGGTAGCACAGTTAGTGATTCTTCATTGTCCAGGGAAGGAAAGTGAACCTGGGTCATCCCAGTCCCTATTGCTGTTGGAGCTGAAAACAGAGACGGCCCTCATCCCTGTGACTAGATGGTCCACCTTGGATTACTCCTTCCAGCAGTTCCCAACGAACTGGAAGTACAGCCATGATCTCTGCCATGCCGTCTGCTTTCTTGTGTGAGCAAGGCCCTCCACTTCCTCTTACGATCATCAGTACAGTATAAATCTGCTGCCTGTGGATGTTAAATCAAAGATCTGAGCTCTCGCTCCAGAGATCCTGCAGACCCAGACTCACACCTGTGAACAGGATTGCAGCAGTCAGCGAACTGAACTCAGACTGCGTGGCTTTCCTTTGAAGCTGCGATTCTCTCTTAAATTAGCATGGAAAAAAAGATTGGCGAAAATCCCTTCTCATTCGCATAACACAGGAGGGGAGGAGTGAGGAGTCGTGTGTGCCCTCCAGTCCTACTTGGCTGAGGGAGCCTGAGAAAGGCGGGATTGTCTTCCCCAGAGCTCACAAGCTGCTTTGTTCTCTGTCTACCATCAGCTGCAGGGAACAGGCATCCTCATGCTCCAGAACAGAGCAAGCAATAGGATGCTTACATGGGGATAGCTTGGCCTCTTCTCTGGGAAAGCATTGTATGAG